CTTTTATTAATATTGGTCTATTGAAGAAAAAAACTATATGTTAACATGAATGGTCTCATATAAGTAAGAATAATTTTCAACACCTTATTGTATAAAATTTTGAAGTTTTTGATTTTTTTTCAGTCCAATGTAGAGATAATGTTATGCAATTCTGTTGGTCTCATGCAGGTAAAGTTAACATTTTTCAATTATAAAACAAAATTCAATGTTGATTAAACATTGAAAGTTTTTTTAATGAAAGAAAATAAATAATTTAAAATATTTTTGATGCTGTAACATAAAGGAGTTTAACAAGTGATCATTTTTTATCTAACGAAAACATTTTTTGCATACATTATGCATACTTAAACTATTTGTTAAATCACGTGCTGAATGACAAAATCAAATAAAAAAAATACGGGGATAATAGTACCGAACAGTATTAAAGCAAAAACGTCCATTCAAAAATACAAATCTACGAACCTCCAAAACATCAGAGGTGGTGTCAGATTGCATCTATTGATCTGGAATTTAAATATTGAAAATATAAAATCTAGATAAACAAATAAACGTATGTCTTTAAACATTTCGATGCTTTTGGACTATTTTACTCTCTTTCATCAGCAATACAGTATAGAGTTTTACTGTTAAGTTTTCTTTCTATTAAATGGAAGTTACTATTGTTATTGACATCCTAATGTCGAGCGTTTTAATTCAGAAGGTGTTGATTAAAATCTGTGCCAGGGATCAAAAAACTTGTCGGAAAATGAAGAAGTAAAATTCGTTTGGAAATTTTACAAGAAAAGACGTTAATGGTAATCTAACAACAAAACTTTATGTTAAACGTGATAACTTCAACTTTTCAATCGTCAATTCCCCATCCTTTTGTAGCATTACATGTATATCCTTCACACCTCCATGGGGTTTCAGGCGGTTTATATCTCTCAAATAATTTGAAGCACAAGAGCATGTTCTACGTACGAACAATTCCAAAAACGAAACTTTATTCACAAACAAATCGATAAAAAAATTACTATGAACAGTATCTTTTAATATTACAATTTTGCAAGTTATATCGCCGATACAATGACGTTATCTGTAAATAGAAATTATCATTTGTCAAATGCTGTTGGGCGTTTTTAATACTTATTATTGTCTATACATATTTTTTCCGTTTTTGTCCATCAGGAAAAGGAGTAAATGGCGACTGTGACTGGTCAGCAGGGGATGCTTAATCTCAGCGAGATGTCGAAAGGACAAAAAATGTTGGTCTGGTGTCCTTCGACATCTCAGAGGGACACCAGGTCAAAATTTTTAATACCTTCGACATCTTGCTGAGATTAGGGGATGATCACTCCTCCATGGCACCTGATCTCACCACTGATGTTTTCGAGGTACTTGTTTGCTCTGTTCCTGAATTACGTGTTTTAATGGACTCTTAAGCTTTAGAACTGAAAATGAAACTGTGTTTGTGAAAACTTCAATCTTTGATTAATTTTTGTTCCTAATATAAGGAAGATATGTTTATTTATTTAATTATGTTGATGAAGGTTACTATAATTTTACCTAAAAAAAAAATGACATACATTGTGTACTTTTATACCAACATAATATGTGTCCGGAAGCGTGTTGTCATTTCAATAGGATATGATGGTGTATTATAAGGCATACATCTGTCACATTGAAAATGTTGCCAGGTAAAATATTGAGATCATGCATAGTAACGAAGGTCACTCATGTCCCCTTGTCTTGTCTATTTCCATTGGCTTGTTTAAAAATTGCAACTTCACCACTGAAATCACTGAACCTTTACCCTTTATTGTTGAAGGGGAACAAAAATTGTTGATTCAAGCCTCCTTTTCCCTTGTGCCCGGGGTTGGAAACAAATCCGTCAATCCTTAAAAGGGGTCCTTCGTTACTTCTGAATCAAAAAGCTAATTCTATTGAGCGTGAATGTGATAACATTGAACCCTCTACCAACATTACTAAATTCAAGTTCTAGATATTATAGTGTGATATTGAGAAAATGCATCAATTCTTTGAAAGTATTCTCTTCTGCTCCTAAGTTTTAATCACAAAAACTGAATGCTAAGTTTTGATATCCCTATTCCAAAACTTTGAAATCCTTGAGCTATTGAAAATATGTTGAAAGATATTTATTCTTTGAGAATTTTCTCTGATATAGGAAATTAAACTGACAAATGAATTGCAAAGCTGATATAAGAAAAGGTCCCTTCTTCCTCATTGTGAATTTCATTGCAAATTTGTTCTCTGTAATTTGTAAATAATGGTACCTCTTCCAATGTTGTGAATTTCATAGTCCCTTGATCAGGAGATTTGGTATAAGGGGTGGGCGCTTATGATTTTACATTAATTCTTTGAACATTTTCTCCGTCCTTATGATTTAGCAGATAAACTAAGTGCGTAGTTATCAATATAGAATGATAATCACGGAGTGCCCTCTAAAAAGGTCGGGATGTTTGATAAAAGGTCAGGGCCCATAGAATCATATACATGTATTGAAATGTTTAAATGTAATAAATTCTTAAAATGTCTCCCCGTATATTTATTAGACAAAGAACGTACATGGTTATGATAGTTATAATGAGTAACAGTGTCTCTTCGAAAAAAGTGAAATTCCTGTATCTTGAAAATCTTTCTGCTCCTCAGAACCTAGAAGGCAAAACAGAACACAATCAGTAATGAGGATTTTTTTTTTTTTTTAAGATTTTCCTCTCGGTCTAGAGTCCCCACGATAAATTAAAGTCAAGACTTTTTGATATTGAGAGCTCCTTTATCAATATTAGTAGAACTCTTAAAACTTACCTTGTTATTTGTCATTTGCAAACTTATTTAGTTAAAAACATTCTGATTGTACATAGAAGTACTCTGAATTTGATATTTATAAGATGTTTGTGTTTCTGATTGACAATATCTATGTGGGTTTTGGAGACCAGGTCTTCCAACAATCCTAGAAATTCCCAAGCGTACCAATTGCGCCCCGTTATCAGCAGTCCTATTTTTGTATTCACGTAAAGCAGAATTTGTCCAAAATCTTCAACGTGAAAAGATAAAACACTTATTGTAGCCTTCAACATATAGGTATATCGACGACGTATTGTCAATTAACAATGGTTATTTCCATTCCTATGTCGATATGTTATATCCTGGTGAACTTGAGATAAAAGATACGACAGAGTCTGACACATCTGTTTCTTTCATTGGTTCTTTGGTCAAGTGAGCAATTACAATCTATAATTGTTAAATGCTGACTGACCTTTTTTCTTACTAAGTGATAAGCCATTACCTACACACTGACTTGTCGATGGATTTTCCATTATTTCCCGATCATGACAAGGAACATACGTCCGCTGTAACCTGTCTTCGGGAGATGCTTACTTCTCCATGTCATCTTATCCCAACTCGCTGTTTTTGAGGTCCATTTTCGCTCTGCTCTAAACTTTGTATTATCTAAAGGACTTTTGAGCTTGACTTTTTTCCTTATGTCCATATATTCCATATATTTCTTTATTTTCAATTCAGTTTTATTATTTCGAGTCGATTTTCCTAGAAAGAATTACTCATACAGGATTGTTTTACCTGTTTTATTTTTCACCCTTTTATACTAAAGATTTTAACCTGTTTTGAATTCGCATAAAGTTGTTTTGTGAAGATATGTCTTTTTTGAATTCTTTATAAAAGCGGCAACTTGTCATGAAGGCACGAGGATCAAAGATAACGGGAGTGAAAATGTGTACGTATACGGTATATGTCGCTGCATTTCGTTTGCGGAAATATGCATAGCATTTCCGACAATTTTTTATTTCATTTCCGACATTTTTTTGTTTTCATTTCCGACATTATTTTGTTTTCATTTCCGGAATTTACCTGTGCGGCAATTCAATGTTTTCTAAGTAAAAGAAAATGGGATTTTAAAAGTATTTATACCAAAATATTATAATAATATTTATAATATAAAATATAAATAAAAAATTTAAAAAAAAACAGCTATACATATACATGTACATGTACATGTAGCACTAAGTCTGGGTAAAAGAGTTCAATAAGCATAAAACTTTTTCACCACATTTAATGTGCATTAAATTTAATGTCAGTGACAGCATCATACCTATGTCCAAGTCACCGATAGATTTACAAAATTGAATTTCAATGATTTATTTATGATTTATTAATTCAAATTTTTCATAAGTGAAGTTATCAAATCTGTTACTATAGGTTCTGCGTAATCATACATGTATATGAAAAATGTCGGAAATGAAAACAAAAAAAATTCGGAAATAAAAACTAAAAAATGTCGGAAATGAAAAGTTGATAATTACCAAATATTCCGGAAATGAAATGCAGCCGTATAATGATTGTATAGGGGCCCACTGTTTGTTTTAACTGGATTTTCCATTATCATGACAATTCAATTATTTATAAATGCAATAAATTATTTATGATAATACATGTAATAAAAAAAAAATGAATCTTCTTTTAACTAGTATCTCACTTTTTATAATCAAATAAGAAACAATAATTGATCTGCATTTAATGTATTTACAACCATCAGTGGTCCATCGGTTGATCAACTCTTAAATGCTATAATATTATTTATTTTTTATCAAGGTTTATGCAAAGAGAAAAAAACTTTAATGATAATATGATAATACTGTTTTCAATAAAAAATTTCTTGTTAGCTAAGTATCACGTTCGATAAGTATGTGACTCTATGGTATCACTTCAACATACGAAGGGTTATCGACAATAGTGCGGATAGTGACTCCCTCTCTAGTCACAGGTTCCATATAAGTGTCAGTAGAATGGCTAGGGGCGTCAGAACGGCCTCTTTCGTCAGACTTCCTCAGGGGAGAGACAGCACAGAGGGTCTGGTACTCTGAGGATTCTCTATAACTCTGCTTTGTAACACTGGTGCCTATCTCCGCCTCTGTCAAAGTCAACGCCTCCTTACTATCCATATGCTCACAGCTGTACATGTTTGTCTCTAGGTCTCTTTGTCTGCCATCATGTTTCGTGTTTGTTGACTTTCCTATGGTGCTGTCTTGTCTTTTCTTCCAGACGAAGAGACACACCAGACCTAGAATCACGACGAGACTGACCCCCAGGGAAATCCCCAGGACTCCCACGACAGAAATCAGCCAGGATTCACTGGTCAGGTCTTTGACGCTCTCCGGGGATTTCCTTGTGGACGGTCGGCGGATAGAGGACGTGGTTTGCTTAGTGTTGATTGTCCTTGGGACTGATGTTTCCTCTGGACTGTTGGATTTAGTGTTTTTCCCCATACTCACATGGGGAGTTGAAAATTCTTTGCGCTTAGTTGTAACGATTTCCCCTGAAAGAATGTACTATAATATTGTTGTTACTTCTAAAGATAAAAAGTATGCAAAAAGCTTTAATTTTAAAAAGTAAGCTTATTCCTTATCAAACATATGCCTATCCTTCTACTTGAACGACTGTTTTTTTTTTAGTATGGATGCAAGTAAAAATGAAGTTTTAATGTCTGTATCAAGCAAATGATGATTCACATGTTGAAAATATTATTGCATTATTTCACATGTTAAAAATATTATTACATTATTAACGTACAATTTCCTGATTTTGTCAAATATAAAAATTTAAAATTCATTAAAATAGCAAATTTGTTTCCTACTTACATATCAAAGTTATTTCAGTAACATGATTTAAATTATTTCATAAATTTATTAAACTTTCCATTTACCATTAATAGTGTTGTGTTGATTGTTTCCCTGCGCTGAAGTCTCTTGTGATGAGGACATTATAACGGTCTGCGCTATGTACGATGTCACTGAGGTCTCTGAATTTATAAATAACAATCGTAATAACAACATTCTTCATTAAAATCATTTAACAACTGTCACATAGTGATTTTATCAAGTATCTGAAATATATTTCCCTCACACCCGAAAAAAATCCTAAGAGGTTAGTTGTAGGGCTTTATTTATGTTTGAAATAATGACAGAAAAAGTGAAGATCAATCTTGGAAATGGTGAAGTCTACGAACATGAAAACCAAACTACCACCGCACTCCCATTCTTCTTTGTCCATACCTTTTACCATGCATCCTGATGCAGGGTCACAGTCCTCTTTTGAACAATGTAAGGCGTTAGTAGAGCACGATTCAATGCAAAACTCTCCATAATGAGGATACATACACTTTATGCTGCAGTTAACACCCATTGATCCTGGCTCACAAGCTGTGTAAAAAAAACATATAGTTCTGAAGTATCATACAAATATTTATCTATTACTTTTCTGTAAATTTCTTCTAGACGCTAGAGCATTTTTTATTCCACAGATAGTTTGTCTAGATCAAAAATCATAGTTCCATTGGAAGCTGAATTATCTTAATCAATTTCTTCTAGAAGCTAGATCATTCTTTATTCCACAGGTAGTTTGTATAGATCAAAAATCATGGTTTCATTGGAAACTGAATTGTCTTAATCAAATGTCTCTGATTTTGATAAGCATTATATCTAGGATTTTGCATTTAAAAAATGGTCAATAATATGCAAAAATTAATTTTAAATTGAATCGCACCTCACAATCATACTAATTGAATTATCGTGAATTCAAGCAACATTTTATATTTTTTGTTGAAAAAATAATGTGGAATGTCAAAATTTTACCTCGACAGTTTCCTTTAATGAGTTCATAATTATTGCAGCATCTCCTGAAATAAAACCAACACGGGTAAATCTAACAATAATCATTTCACATCTGGGATGAGTTGGGTTTTTTTTTCTTATTTCTTTTCTTATTTTCCAATGCTATTTTCAAAATAATTCTAAACCCTCATATTTCTCAACATAACATACTAGTGATATGGGGAAGAGTCTTCTTAGTCTTTCATTTATGTAGTACTGCTCCTACATCACCTACTTATGGTGTTTATGTCTTCCAACGTATTCACCACTCAAGAGTATGCTCTGATCATGATCAATTTTTTTTACCCGAGGCAGGCTACTCAGCTGTATGTTGATGTAACAGGGATTTTAACAACCTCGTATAAATCAACATTTCGTAATATCTATAGTCGTTATGTTGACCTTATTAGCAAATATATTTACATCCACTGAATATTTTCTCCTTTATTTCTTAAGAAAACCTATTGCCGTTAATCAGTGAATGAAAAACACTGAGCAAGCCACGTGTGTAATTTTCTAGAACAATGGCTGTTCCATCAGTTTTACATACAATGACATATTCATCTTAAAAACAATAGTTAACAAATTTTATTCTACTTTCCGTATGATTTTTCATACAGATGTAAATATAAACATTAAAATGCTTTCTTTGTTTGTTAGAACGGGAATTAACGTCGCAGCAATTGCAGAAAAAAATTATATATTATGTATTTTTTCTGCAATAGCTGCGACATTAGTACCCGTACTAACAACCAAAGAAAGCATTTTATTATTTAAATAAGCTATCACTGGGTCAAATTTCGGCTGACATGTTAAACATTTCATTTTGCAGTGAATTTGACTACGGAATGATCCGTGTACTTGATTGATACATAGGACTCGCGGCGGATGTGATGAGTCAACAGGGGAAGCTTACTTCTCCTAGGCACTTGATCTCATCTCTGGAATTACCAGGGGTCCGTGTTATGCCCTGTTCACGAGTTCTATTGTTTGAAGTTTTTACGAGATCGACCACTGTCCGTTATATCTTTACCATTTTTCATTTAGCTACATACTAGTTACAATTTTAAAAGCTGGAAGGTTCATTTTTTCCTGACCAGAAATCAAAGTATTTCTAATATGAATTTTCTGCGATTCTTGCATGCGATTTTTTCCCCAATACTTATATCACATATAATTTCCAAAATTTGCATCATCTTTTTAGAATTTAAGATATATATTTAGGTTCCACATTCAAAAAATCAACAACAAAGAATTCTCTAGAGGAAAGTTCTATTGATGATAAACCAAAGTGTTAAAGTATGTTCAGAAGAAAACTATTTTAACTGCTGTAGTGGGTTTTCTCCTTTTACGACAGTAGTTCTTTATACAAGGAATTTTCAAAAACCTGTTAAGTACAGCCCTTTTAATTTTTTTTAAATTTTGTCCCGTTTTCACTGAAAGGGGAGGGGTGTCCGTCAAAAAATGTCTTTATGTCTGTCACACTCATTTCGCGCAATATTGGGCTTTTGCAATGAAAATTTAAAAATCAACTTTCTATGGCCTAAGGAAGACTCCTTTTGAGGTCAAAATGTCAAAGGTAAAGGTCATAAATTTTAATTGTCTGATTTAACACTTTCGTTTCCGCGAAATCCCAAGAAGCCTTTGAGCTTTAGCAATTAATGAAATTTTATACCACAACTCCCTATAGCCTGAGCAAACACTATTGCTTTTGGGGTCAAAAGGTCAAAGGTTAAGGTAATAAATTTATACATTCTGTTTGTATGTAAAACTTTCATTTCCGAGCGATATCTCCAGAATCTTCTGCTTTTGCAATGAAAATTCATACCATATTTCCTTAAGGTAGGATTCTTCTCACATTTCTTGTATTTAAAAATTAATGAAATTTTCAAAGAATCAAGAGGACAATAACACTAAGTGATGGTATCAGTGAGATTAAATTTGACCGTTTAATATTAGAGGCAAGGTCAGGTCAAGGTCATCACCTTTTTCCCAGGCACTAAGAATAAAAAAATACTGTTGCCAATTATGCGATCCCTACTTGTATTTCAAAAGATTGAATGTTTTCCTTTTTGCATAAAAAGATACTACCATATAGGGCCTATAAGATGATATTACCAAATTGACAATGAAAATTCATACCATATTTCCTTAAGGTAGGATTCTTCTCACATTTCTTGTATTTAAAAATTAATGAAATTTTCAAAGAATCAAGAGGACAATAACACTAAGTGATGGTATCAGTGAGATTAAATTTGACCGTTTAATATTAGAGGCAAGGTCAGGTCAAGGTCATCACCTTTTTCCCAGGCACTAAGAATAAAAAATTACTGTTTCCAATCATGCGATCCCTACTTGTATTTCAAAAGATTGAATGTTTTCCTTTTTGCATAAAAAGATACTACCATATAGGGCCTATAAGATGATATTACCAAATTGACATAGATAATTTAAATATAATGGATTTTTGCTAATCCGAATTTTCTCTACTTTTCTTAAATTTTTAGGGTGAATTAGTTATTTTTATATGCTTCCTATATTTAACTTTTTCTCATTTTCACATATACAAAAAATGTGGTAAAGTTGTCACATAAAGGTACAAAATGACACAAAAACTAAAATTTTGATCGTTTACTAAGACAGAAATAACACTTTTTATGGATTTGTGACTCAAATCTGAACTTAGATTTGAAACATTTAAAAGCCATCATAGTTCTAGTATGTGTGAGAAATCTTACTTATTTGATATATTTTGAACCTTTAGTCCCTTCTTATTAAATTAATTACATTTGAAAATTTCCTCTGGTCTTTGATTGCGTAAAAATTATAACTAAATTCAATGTTCTATAATCATTTTGAAAGGCAGAAAGAGGATATTTTCATATGCCACCATTCCGCCAAATATATAGTCCCTGCTAGTTTTCAAACGCAGTTTACCATTTCTATTTAAAGTTGTACAATTGTGACGAGGAAAGAAAAATGTTGTCTTTTAAATCTCTTACACCTAAATATATAAGACATAGAAGCAAGTATACTTTGAATATTTCATCTAGTCAGGAACCAGAGAAGAATCCTACCTTAAGGCCCCGCCCGCCTGTCTTAAAGCCCCCCTCCCCCTTTCGAACCCTTTTCCTGCCCTTTTAGAGATCCCTGCATAATTTTTTTTCCCCTTAAGGGTACTTACCACAAACAAAAAATGGATGCGCGGGTTGATATATATTTTTTGACTGATTTTGATTTGTAATGATATAAATAATAAATCCCTGAAATATAAAGAAATCGTAGGTTTTCCTTGGTGCTTAGATTTGAGATTTTATTTTGCCTTCTATATAATTCCATACAAAATTTTGCACAATTTTTTAACTTTATGACAAAATCTTATAAAATTATCCCACTCTACTTGGTAAACATTATTCAGGTTGTCAATTTAAATGTAAATCTATGAGAAATAATGCTGATTTCTGAAAAAAGTTTGTTTGTGTTATTTATCCTTAAGCAGGTGACATAGATTCTCTGCATTAGCTTGTTTTTTTATTTGTTTTTTTTTTTAATCTATTCGATAATTTAGGAGTTAAGAAACCTCTTTTTATTCAAAATGATACGTTTTGGTTTATTTATTTTTGCGGAAAGTCTTCTGAAAATATTCTTTCAATGAATTTTTTTATCGTGTATACATCATAAGCATTTTAAAAGATCCGAAAAATGCTTGCTTCAATGTATGTATCAAATATTTTCATATTCTACTGATCAGCAAAACATTTGGAATGCATTTTAACATTGAAAAGAAGTTTTTAACATTAATTAATGAAGAACCTACCAACAAGATCCATTGTCGTTTTGTCCACAACATCCAGTGTCCGTGTAACTGTGGCAAAATTCAACACATATATAAATAAACCAAGCTGTCCTAATCATTTCTCATTAAAGTTGTCCAGGAAAACTCGAGTCATGGTAGGCCTCATTCTCCTTCCTTCATTTGCTGTTCTGTGTGAAGCGCTTTTTCTATTCGATACTTTTTGTATTTTTAACCAATATTATATATCTTAATACCGGTATCTGAAGTACTCATCGTTTGTTTCTATATTCAACTAAAATAAGGAAACAAAAATATGCTGAAACAGTTTTTTACTTCCTTACAAATGGTTCAATCACCAACATTTTGTAGCAATTCCCACATATCAATCCCCCTTGAATCAAAACTTAATAGTGTCATTAGGCGATTTCATATTCACATCGGCTCAAAAGTTTGAAAATAAGGATTTTTAGTTTCACTATACATGTATATGGACTCCTATATTCTTTTTGAACATGCCATGTCATAACACTACAGCTAGCAAACTAACATTCTCATTTCAAAGAAGGTTTGGATTAAAACAATACCAAGTTTAGAAAAATTGTGTTTCATTCCTAGTCCTACTAGTTCTTTCTCTCTGCTGAATCCTTTTTCCCTTTTTTAAAAATACTTTGTCCCACATGAATCAATAGTAGACAGTAGAATGCTCAGTTTTTCAGAAGTATCGCTAGTTCCGGAATTCTTTGTTAATTAATATCTGTAAGGTTATCTTCAAAATATTGTGGTTGCTCTCTCCCGAAAGACTGTCTAATAATGGCCCGATCCAAAACTTTTCTGAACTCCCAGGAATTAAGATTTTTTTTTCCATTTTCATTCCTGAATTTTCTCATTCCGTCAATAAATATATGTTGAAAGTTTCCAAGAAAAAAATATTTTTACACCTACCTATCCAAATGCCTTAAACTCTGAGTTGGGAGAGAGCAAGCTGCCATTATTTGAAAGATGGCCAAATATCACTTGAAAAAGAAATATTCCAAACTATTGATATTTTATTTTTAAATATATCCCACGAAAAAAAATCTCAATATTTTCTGCAACACTAGAAATGTATATAAAATAATATTATAAAGATACAATCAAGTTTTAAATCTCTATTTGGTGAAGATTAAAAACAAATATTCTTCACTCTCTTTCTCTCTCCACATGCCTACAGATACACTCATATGTACAATAATTTACATAGAGCACTACATTATAAAATTCTGGCATTTGTCTTTACCGGGCAATTATCTGCATACTTTACATTTCACTGACTTACATTTTATTCATGAATTCTAAAATATGTCAATTTTACACAAAATATTGTTGAATTACCAAGGAAATTTTTAATTTTTAGTTCTTTTTATATGAACAGACCCATAATTTCATTTCTTTGACAAAATAGTAAACATTTCAAACAACAGTTTTAAGTTCATGACACAAATCACAAAATTAAATTTCCTCAAAAGAATATTTGTTCCTCCAACCATGAAAAAATTGACCCAATAAAATGAAAAGGTTGAAATTAACACACAGCATCTGAAATAACCTATAAACAATATTTTGTAATATATACATTTGTGGTATCTCTCCATTATATAAACATACAGAGAGAAAATATCTTCAATTCTGTATGAAGTTTGTCAGAGGTCAGAGGTCAATACGTGACCTAATCACACGGCGCAATAATATCTACCGGTACAAATGACCTGCTCTACTTGCTTTTCATGTATAAAAATGAACAAAATAAGCAAGTAAAATAATAATTATTTTATTTACAATGTAAACTAGTATTTCATACAGTTTGTTGGCTACCGATTCAACCTGTGTACATAGAGAAAACTGGGGCCTAGCGTTTGTTTACATTTTTTTCACTTTTGTCAGCTGCACAGTCTCTAACGTTCATCATTATTTTTTGGGTAGACCTTTCGTTAAATTTTCTTGATAAACTATTATTTTATCTTTAAATTCTACTCACGATAAAAGGGTAAATCTGTTGGAAAATATCATTGCAATCATGCCATGAACAGCTGCCAAACACCTCGGTGTTTTCGTAGTTCAATGTAAAGTTGTCGGCAGTGTCCATGTTAATTAGTGTTTTACGATAAGTATGTCTTTAGTTACTGAAATCGTAGAATGTTTTGGATCAAATTGCAAATTAACTGGCTCGGACAAGTGTCTCAATTCATCGGATCCATCCATCCCTTTCCGGCGACCGAAATTCCTCCAACTTTTTATCATCAAACCTCGGACGTGTTTCTTGTGAATTTTCAGCATCGATTATCAATTTTCACGAATAATTATATTCCCAAACAACAATCTGTTCACTATTACTGAGCACAAGTAGCCTTTCACAAAATATTCCCTTCGAAATAGATTCCTTAGCCTAATGAATTTGAAGCGTAACCGCCATGCAAGCCGATTTACACCTTGCGTCATTTTTCAAAATGTACGACGGACGGTTAGTGCAATAATTAAATTCGAATATATTCAATTGTCTGTCTCAAATGTATATATAAGTAATAAATAACAAGTTTATAAACTTCAATGGGAATTGAAGTGGGTCGGTACGTGATCAAATCTTCTGAGAAGGCCTTCGGCCTTCACAGGATTTGATCACGTGACCGACCCACTTCAATTCCCATTGAAGTTTATAAACTTGTTATTTATTTCTTAAAACAAGGCATATATTCAGACGTAGGATCAGGCACCAAGAATAGTAAACATCCACTGTTGACCAGTCACACCTGCCCTGAGCCCTATGTTTTGATAGATAAGTTTCGTTGCATGTACTCAAAATTATTATAAAAATAAAGTATGAAATGTGACAGTCAAAATACTACCCGATGGTAATTTTTATTTGCTGAAAAGGTCATTATAACGACCATAAAATTAACTAAATGTTGACTTTAAGTAAGGTTGCTGAGATCCCTTGTAAGATCAATATATCTGTCAATAGCCTGACTTGGTTTAAGAATTGACCTGTAATCAGAGCATACTCTTGGGAATTAAATATATTGGTAGACACCACATGCAGGTGATAGTGGGAATATTACGATGGAAAAGCTGAAATCATCTTGTTTGTCATACACTTTTATTGTTGGTGACACTAATTGTCTATACTCATTAAAACATCCAAACTAAGCGATTTTACAGAATACCGGTATATACCCAGTAGACGTCAATTTTTTAAACAGAATATCTTCTTACGTGCTTTTTTACTTCAAACATAACTCTTTTGAACTCAGAAACATTAAACATCCTAAGCATTTCAATTCTACATGATGTCCAAGCACTCAGTATTCTCTTTGTTCTCTCCAGAGCAGAAATACCTTCCCTGTCTAACACAGCCTCATATTCTCTATTCTTCCACTTCCCAAAGTCTATCTTAATTTCTCCTTGCCATGTCCTGATATTCACATCTGCCCCCATGTCCAGCAGGATCCTCACCTTCTCCAATCTGTCCTTAACAAGTTCTTCATCAATCACTACATGGAGGAGGGGTCTTATTTCAAACTTATTCCATTTTCCACCCTGTATCAACTGATCCTTATCCAGACCCAGAGTAAGCAGATGTCTCAATGAACCACAGTCTCCATATATGATGGTCTTCCACCGATGTCCAAAACTTTCCATGTGCCACACCCGCCTTTTTATCTCTGTCACATCATCCTGTTTTTACATCAGAATTTCTCATGTCAACTAAAATGTTAAACGGATGTAGATTTCCATCATTTGTCTTAAATTCTTCTGATTGAAGTAGTAGGTTTACTATATCTAGTCTGTTCATTACTAACCCCACATATAGTGCTGATTTACAGATGTAAACTTTTTTAACACAGTATGCACCATATTCAATTAGAACTTTCACAACTGCTGCATAACCCTCTCATGATGCAATCATAATGGGGTATTTCCATTACTGTCTGGTAAGTTAACATTGGCTCCTGCCATTAGGAGTTTCTCCACCACCCTCTCATATCCACCATTACAAGCTGCTATCAATTCCCTGTAGGTTGACATCAGCCCCTATATTTATCAATTTCTCTACTATACTCTCATGTCCACCCCAACATGCTGCTGTCAGTGGTGTGTCAATCTTACCCTGTTGATTTACACCAGCCCCCATCATAATTAATTTCTCTACTATACTCTCATGTCCCTCCTCACATACCATTACTAATGGTGGAGAACTTTGTCCTGGTGCGTAGATCAGATTGACCAAGTCTCTACTGGCATACTGCTGCAATATTTTTACAATGTTGACATCACCACTCAAAAAAGCAAGAAGGAATAATCCTTTCTTTTTTCTTTGATAATCAGATGATCTCCATATTGTATTCAATACAAAGTGTACATTACTTTCATAGAACATCACAGACTGTGTTTCTCTGCGTTTTCCAGTTTGTTCTATAATGTACTGTATAATTTGATGATGCCCATAGTAAATAACCCAGCTGATCACTCTCGAAGTTTTGGTAAATGATTTTCTGTTTAAGTTGAAAATGACACCCATAAGAACAAATTCATGTCTGGAGGCCCTGCTCCTACTTCTCCACAAATTCTGTCTTTTTTTCTGAGCTTGCTTCATTAAATCACTGGGCTACTTTCCATTCATTAAAGCCCTCACTTCGTCCAGGAATTTTACATCACCAATCTCATCCAAAAACAAAGACTTCAATTCAGTGTATTCTTTTTCCTTTAACACATCAATAAAAGCCTGACACACCTTTGAATGTTTCAGAACATCATTCATAAACACATCATACAGCTCCATTTCTTCGATGTCTCTGTACAACCTCTCTGCTAACAGTGGATACTGATCACCTAACCTTATACACAGGTCAAAGGACTCCTCAGTTTGATTTCTTTTATCAGCATTCATATCACTTTTCACATTCTCTTGTAAATGGGTTACCTCTCTTTCTTCACTTTTCTGGGGTTTCAGGTAGTTAGCAATATAATTACTTCTCATATAATTTACCATTTGTTGAGGAAATTGTTGACCATAGTGATAAGCACAAATTTCAAAGATGGAGTCATGTATAAATGTGTAGTCTGTGCCACTTTGTTTTGTGTATGTCCCCTCCATAGAAGACAATGCACTAAAAACCTTGAATAGGTTCATATGGCTTTCTAATTTACAGCTTTCTAATACATCACTTTTAATTTTTTTGAAATGTTCATTTTCCTTGTCTTTTAAAA